GGAGGGGGGGGGGAAGTGATAACAAACTGAAACGGTCGAAATCCAAGATGGCTGCCTTGTTTTATTTTTTCCCCTCACCAGCCTCAAAATGAAACAGTTCGTTTGGTTATATATCATGTCATGTCCTATCAGCTAAGGTCATTCAAGACCGTGTCTCCATGATGCTCAACTTAGGACATATACAAATCAACAAATGAATTTTGATAAGGATACATTATTTATGTCAAGTGCGACTTGAGAAATTGCGATATCAAAATTGAACAGTCAACATTCAAGATAACCGTCTGGTCAGGTGAGCATCCTGTTGTTCCGATAAGTCACCAAAAGCGATTTTACATATACAGGGACCACATGTAAAATTTGTAAAGACCCCTCCAGTACTTTCTGAAATATAGCGCCAACAAACTTTAACTCGGCAAATATCAGGATGACCGCCTATCGGCTTTCTTGGTATTTTGATCTGATATACTTTTAAGTATGTACCATGGACAACAGCCTTGTGAAATTTGAGAAAGATCCCTCCAGCACTTTCTGAGAAATGGCGCTAACAAAAATTGTTTAAGGACGGATCACGGACAAAGGGTGATTTGAATAGCCCACCATAATCAAATGGTAGGCTAAAATTTTTACTGCAACGAAAATGTTTAGTTTTTAAAGTTCATTTGAAATCTGGAAAAATCGTATTGAATTAAGAAACAGGGTCACCCGTCTGATTTTTCCTTCGGCAACAGTGAATTTATGCCATAGAGTTACTTTCAGAAAAACTTAAGTCCGACCTTTTGTTTCAGAAATTGTTTTTTTTATCATGACCTGTTCTATTTCTCAAATAAATTGAAAGCAGATAAAAAAAAAAAAGAAGAGAAAGAGAAAATCGTTCAATGTAAAATAATTTAATTGATTTTATATCTAAAATTGAAATATAACTTGGCAATACCAGTTGCCGTTAAGTGAGTATTGTACAGTATCCAGCTGTATATGATCATGTTACAATTACATTTATAACAGTGTCCGTCAGGTGGCAGCACTCGCAGTAACAACGTACACCAGGTGTCACCACTAGCGGTAACACCTTCACTACATATTATACTCAATCTTATCATCCTAGACCATATTGTATGACATCCTATAGTGACAATTGTAGTCTCTGTGAACGTTTCATACGTAATATTCATGTTTAATAAGCTGACATAATCGATGTTTCTGCTTCACCAGTATCGTACAAATACTACAATCTGCTGATCCAGGGCCGTAACGATAAATTTTCATCTGTCGTCTCATTAAAGTATTTTTTCTTCGATATGTGGTCCACAAAAGATTATAAGACTCTTTCATGCTCAGGGGTGTAGGATAGGGAAATTCCACCCGAGGGGTTTTCAAATTTGGTAGCGTTTTTTATAAAGAAATACTTTCTGTGTCTAAAACGGCAAAAATAAAGAAAATGTGATTATCTACCTCCTGCTTGTTACTAGTAACACGTAATTACATATTGATGACATCGCCATAGAAGAAAATAATACTGCAAATCGGATCATTTTAGCGAGCATTTATAGATTCTTGCAAAAACAACTCCTGAATATGTGAATTTGCGACAGATATATAATAAAGTTATTCACCAATTATTACAAATGTACTAAGGTTAAAAAATAACGAGCTTGTAATCAACACTCCTCGCAAATAAACCGCTTAAATGTAAAACCTCGCGAAATAACTCTGTTTCCAGTGTCTATGTATCAACAACGTCACAGAGACTATTACACTTGTGACAAGGAAATATCGTATAACACACAGGCTGGCTTCCATGTCTTCAACATAACTTTGTACTCGTCGGCCTTTCCATGCACAGATTTAAGCACAATAGTCTGGCACAATATTGTCTCAAGTCTTGCACATCTTTAATATGTACTTGTATTTGTTATACATCCTTTGATTTTCCACATTAAGCGCCCCACAAACCACTCTTTGACTGCGTGTGTTCACCAATAAACTTACATCTATTGGTACCGTCAGACTATCCACTCGGAGTGTATTTCGATCTTAAAGAATGCCAATGGAACTCAAGGTGTCTTCCGATTGGTGCACTTCCATATCATAGTTAGTGGTCAATTTGGCAGACAAACAACTAATGCTGAATGTCAGTCATACGAAATTCTTTTCGAAAATATTGGAGACCTTTGGAAGTTGAACTTCAAATAGGAACACACATGCTCGATCTGATCACATTGGGCGGTTTGTAAATGCTTTTTATGACTAGGTTGCATATGGACACCTTGCTTGGCAATGCGTTTTAAACAAAGTTGAACAAAGAGGAATTAGTAGCAAGAATTAACCTGGTTCATAATAGATCTTACGGCACTGTAAGATCATTGGTAGCGTCGTCTGTGACATCATTAGCGAATGATAGACTGCATGCACACCAAAGTCACATCACGTAACGGATAGGAGACATACCGTGGTCCGGGTGAGACGGACACATTTGAGTGAGGGACCACAAATCACGTTATAGAAGAGAACATGGAGAGATTAAGTGCCTTGGACAAGTCCCCTTTTGACGTGTCCTTTATTGGCGATGTGTCGAGCGTTATGATTGGTCGAAGTTGTCCCCTTTTCCCCTGTTTAGGGGTCGATGTACACAGAAGCTCCTCCCCAAAGTCTATATCCAGTGAAGAAAACATATTATAGCTACTCTGCTGCTCGAAAGGTTGGTACAGAAGCATGCTCCGACGCATGATCGACGTTAGATTTCCGTTTTCGGTTTTCGAATAAGTTTTTTCTTTTTCCCCTTTTACAACCATTTGCTCCTCCTGAGTAATCAGAGGATGTACACTGTCCTTAGTTGGCATTAAAGGGTGGTTGTCATGGTGAAGACACATGTGGTGTGACGTCACATCTGTATAGTTGGATTCTGGTTTCAATGGCTCATTACCTGTAAAAACAGAATTGAATAAAAGTAATCTCCTTTAATTTCAGTCAATGTATTTTCGCCTACATTACTGTATTTCAATGCATTTTTCGAACGTTTCATGAAGCAAAAGTATAACTTTCTAAAGATCATATATTATACAGTCTCTACCAGAGTTCTCGTTCCTTATGCTAACGTTTACATATGAATGTACGACAACTCCAGGTTATTCGTCTACACTTGTTTGCGTTGTCGTGCTTTTAACGTAATCTCGAGGATTTGTTTGAAATTATTTTAAATAATAGAAAATAACAGGTTAATCATAATTATATACGAATAAACAAATATTTGGGTGAAATCTTAATGACCGAGTGTTATGCTAGATATGGACTCGTTATACATTGTATTATGTATTACCAGCATTCAATTTAAGTTAAAAAGAAAGAAAACATCCCTTTTTCACAGAGGATATAGTTAAGCAAACGTCTAGCAGCTTTTCAAAACGAGTCCTAAAAACTTCTAACAGGCCAAGGCGATTCCTAGCGGGCCAAAATGAGTTCTTTAATACTTTCAGCAAGCCAAGGTGAGTTCTGACTAACTTCTAACAGCCTTCATCAGACCAATGGGAGTCTAAACAAAACTCCTAGAAGCCGTCATCAGACCAATGGGAGTCTAAACAAAACTCCTAGCAGCCTTCATCAGACCAATGGGAGTCCAAACAAAACTCCTAGCAGCCTTCATCAGACCAATGGGAGCCCACACAAAACTCCTAGCAGCCTTCATCAGACCAATGGGAGGCCAAACAAAACCCCTAGCAGCCTTCATCAGACCAATGGGAGCCCAAACTAAACGCCTAGCAGCCTTCATCAGACCAATGGGAGCCCAAACAAAACTCCTATCAGCCTTCATCAGACCAATGAGAGTCTAAACAAAACTCCTAGCAGCCTTCATCAGACCAAGGGGAGCCCAAGCAAAACTCCTAGCAGCCTTCATCAGACCAATGGGAATTCAAACAAAACTCATAGCAGCCTTCATCAGACCAATGGGAGTCCAAACAAAACTCATAGCAGCCTTCATCAGACCAATGGGAGTCCAAGGGGGACTCCTAGCAGCCTTCATCAGACCAATGGGAGTCTAAACAAAACTCCTAGCAGCCTTCATCAGACCAATGGGAGCCCACACAAAACTCCTAGCAGCCTTCATCAGACCAATGGGAGGCCAAACAAAACCCCTAGCAGCCTTCATCAGACCAATGGGAGTCCAAACAAAACTCCTAGCAGCCTTCAACAGACCAATGGGAGCCCAAACAAAACTCCTAGCAGCCTTCATAAGACCAATGGGAGCCCAAACAAAACGCCTAGCAGCCTTCATCAGACCAATGGGAGCCCAAACTAAACGCCTAGCAGCCTTCATCAGACCAATGGGAGCCCAAACAAAACTCCTATCAGCCTTCATCAGACCAATGGGAGTCCAACCAAACTCCTAGCAGCCTTCATCAGACCAAGGGGAGTCCAATCAAAACTCTTAGCAGCCTTCATCAGACCAATGGGAGTCCAAACAAAACTCCTAGTAGACCAAGCTGAGCCCTTACAAACATCTAGCAGGTCAAGGCGAGTCCAAACAAACTCCATTAGTTCTTAATGTTTCTTAGTAGGTCAAGGCGATTACTGACAAATTCTTATCACTAATTTTCAGCAGGCCAAGTCGAGGCCTGAACAATTCTCAGTAGACCAATGAGTTTTAACATATCGTTTTGCTACTTACCAGAGTTCGAAATATTGCGTCGCCTATTTCGTTGCCAAATAAAAAACAAGACGACGAGACCGATGATACTGAGGAGGAAGATGCATCCAGCGATGATTCCGAGGGTAAGGGACATTGATATAGCGCTGGTGTCTATGGTCTCGACTGGAATATAAATCATAGGGCATGTAAGTAAAGCAATATTAAACTAAACGATCAAAGAAATTAACAATAAATTATGGTACAATTTAAAGTAAAATCAACATTTCTGATTTAAAAAAAAATACAAATACAGAATGATTAGCTAAATCAGTTCCTACCTTAAGTGTCTGCACTAAATATATATATATGTTTTATGTACCTCTTCACATGAAATGTTTAATGCAAAATCAAACTATATCCAGGTTTCTATCGAATATCCCACAAACTGCTGCCGATGTGGACTACTACCGTGTGTGTACAATAAAGCTTTCTAGTGAACAGTCACAACTCGGGCGACACGTGTAACCGATATCGTGTGTGCACCGTGCAGCTTACTCATCAAATAAGCCGTGCGCTGACGCGTGAGCACTAGAAATCAATATTAAAGTCTTACTCATGCCCTTTCACAACAGATTATAGTATTAAACCTTGGTCATTAAAGCTGACAATCGCATGTTAAGAACCACCAACGAACTTTCAAATATCGTATTTTCTACACCAAAGCATCTCCTTATGTCTAGTCGATTGTTGTTCTTAACATCGTCATTTAAGCTTACATATCGCATATTAAGAACCATCAATGACATTTTCAATGTTCAGTCGCTTGCGGTTCTTAACATCCAATATCACCTGTGAAAAGCTTTGTTAGCTTTAACATTTAAATGGGCGTTTAGCCTTTTACGTGTAGATGCTATAATAATGATAATGGATATTTAATCCTTATAAGTATACCGAAAATAGATTACTCTGCGCCTTTTTGAAAAACTAACGTCGCTGTCTTTATCAAATTCCTTTTAAATATTGAACCAAACATCATGTACAATGTACTATCATATGCTAAGACAGCTGTGTCGTATTTGGTTACTGCAAAGCTGAAATGTAAAACATTTTCATGAGACTGTCCCAAACCTAATTACCTAATTGTTACTTTTTCAATAAGCAGGTGACATGTACGTACCGACACAGCGACCTTCGTCTCGTCCGTCTAGGCAGTCCTTCCGTCCGTCACAAAGGAACATATGAGGTATACAGGTACCGTCCGAACACTGGTATTCGTCTGTGAGACATGCTGTAACATAAAACGACGCACGTTTAATTTGTATCAACTGAGATGTTTCAGTTTCCATGTATTGCAACACAGGGGCCTGACAAAATGGTCGCACAGGGGTCTGGGAATCAAGACACAATGCGCTTGTGTGACCTCTCCTGATGAATAAGGAATATAATAAGGCGTTTTAGAGAGGTTAGATAGAGACTCTGTAACCCGTCAAAAGGGGGAGAATTTTGTAGGATGCTGTCATAAACTAAACCCCTAAAACGACTAATAGTAATCCTTCCACGTCAGGACATACTCTATGTCCGAATTCTCGGCCCCCTGTGTGTAGTCAAACATAGTAAACATTATTAAGTATATCTTTAACGTAACCATTCCTTACGCCGTTGTCTTCACTAGTTTTGATGTGTGACATGTCAGACCATACGGTACATGTGTGTCTGCCGCACTAGTAACGACTTATATGTTTGCCTGTCAAATGTTTACACAAAAGTGAAGTTCTACTACAGTCATGGACTTATACACATCACAGCACTCGTGGGAATCAATTTTAAAACTTATCACAGAATATTCATTCTACTAATACCGGTGACCTAGTGGGCCAACATGATAACTCGCCCTCGTAAGGTGAACTCTTCTGAAAAGAAGTTATTGATAGTTAGCGTATGCCCTTAACAATTAATATGCTACCATAACACAAGAGAACGTAGCAAGTAATATACATTTTTGAATTATTTTTTCAGTTTTAATTACATTTAAATATGACTGTAAGCTCTATTCTTACCTGATCTGACGCCTAAACGTTTTTCTGGACCACACGGTAGCCTGACCTAGATATCTAACCTGTATGTTTACACCTGACAATTTCTAGGTCACGCTGGTACTTACTCAGAGATATGTAAGCTTAATGAGGAAATGTAAAATTTTAAATAAACAAATGTTGAAATTCCGGTATCTTCTTCAGATATATGTCCGTACTCAAGTTCAGACAACTTTTCAAAGTTTGATTGATTACATACTTATCGTGTAGCCTATTAATTTCTTATTATACAAAGTATCAGCGGAAATCATATGTTCTCTTGATTTTTTATTTTATTTTTAAGTCGATTTTGCAAAGATTTGTTTGTAGATATGTGTAGAAGCTAACTGGGCTAAGCACACCTCGGTTCCGCAGACATGAGCATGTCGCGTCCGACACGTCATTTATAAACGTCTCCCGCATCAAAAGGACTTACATGTGTAATTTACGGGACAAAGAAAGATCGTCAACGGTATAAGTAATCGCCTGTTATAATACATAGATATCGTTCCGGTATTAAACCTGTTCCTACTCAAACTCATGGATATACCTCAATTTTCCCTTCCCTTGAACAATCGTAGATTATAATCAAATAAAAAATGTAAGAATTTCTTGTCCTACTTTTAAAAAAGGATGGTATGTATCTGACACATTTATTTCTTATATATTCAGCAATTGAAGCCGTCATAAAAATGATAGATATCTTTTCGAATTTCTTTAAGACGACGTTTCAGAAAGATAATCATCTAACTATGTGTGAAATATGTTATGATGACCTGTCATAATTATGAAACGTGAATCTTTGCCATTATCATATCTCAACCTTTGAAAGTGTAATAACATTGTCATAAATATAATGTAAATGTGTTTCGCGACCGAATGAAACTGTTGATCCGATAGCAAAGGTCAACATATTCAGTGACTCTATCGTGCAGGTGACGTTATTCGTGTGGGTGAACAGAGAAAACGACAGCCCGAGTATCTTTTGACTCCAATACCTAGGCCAATGTGTACATATATAAAGCTTCCCTAGGTCAGTGGTTCATACACATTTAAGATAAAAGTTATTATAAAATTTCAAATTATTAAATACATTTAAGGATTTGATACAGTTCACACAACAGAGTTACCTCCCCTCGTAAAACTACTGTTTAGCTTTTAAAACAGAAATCCCCTTAAAATGAAATGATGATTATCAGATAAAAACTGTTAAAACGCATCTTCTCCTGAAATTAAATAGGCTAAATGTGTCGCGTTTAGGATGTATCCTACTATGCACAGTAATTTTATATAGTTATCGCCTTTACAAACTTTTCCCTTGAATGATTTGAAAAAATCCGAGTTTTAGTGTATTCATTCTTGTGTGTCTTTTTAGTATACAACAAATAAGTTTTAGAAAGTCCTTAATGATAAAAAATACTTTATCGATATCTATTTGAACTCTTTTAGAAAGGAGATACATAAATTATAGTAACGAAGCATACAGCCTTAAGTCAATGAAATCTTATTAAACCTATCTCATAGTTACAATGACAGTTCTGTACACACGGAAATGTTAAACACTTCAATACTTAATTAGCATTACCAGTTATTCTAATCAATTTAAAATAATGCTAATAAGACAAATGCTTTGAATTTTGTATAATTAATCAAGTAATGATAAACCGTCCATTGTTGCGTCTAATCATGAGAAAGTGCTTCAAACATTGGTACATGTATATGATATATCGCTAGTCACTCTGACCTCATCATTTAATATGTCGGAGATGTACAGACAAATATACCGCAAAGCTATAAAAGAACACACATACGAATATATATTATGTATATACGTATGCATGATTTATGAGAAGATTATCTTCAGATCATGTACATGTATTGTGACACTACATATAGACATTTATACGAACTCTTTTTCGAAAGGAGATGCATATATAGCAGCGCAACGTATTGCCTTAAGTTAAAAACGTCATATTAACCGTGTTGTTGACACACTGACAATTACAACACATTTTGAACACGGAAATGTTATACAGTTCGATACTCGCGGCAAAAGCGATAAAATTGATGACGTCATGAAGTAAACTAAGATGAATGAATTCATACACTTATCCATTAATCCCGTGTTTATTTATTCAAGAACTTGTGTAACGTGTTGAGAAAATCTGTGAACTCACTGAGTGAAATTATAAACCTATGATCAAATGAAATGAATTGATAATGTATGAATCCATAAAATGAGTTCATGAACCCATGAAATGTATCAAGTAAACTCATGAGCCCATAAACCAGCGCAATAGATTGGACTAATGGACCTATGGGGTAGCTTTTTGACATTATCTTATGATTGACGGGGCAATGTACTCATCAGTTATGTTGAAATATATACACGACTTTTTCTATTCGAAGTGATAAACAGGATAGGATAATAAACCCAGTCCATGTTTTCCACACGTCCAGCAGTGACTGTACATTACGTTTTTTAAACTATTGCGATAAAATTGTAGTTAAAACTGACACATATCTCGGACACGAGCCGAAGGCGATACACTCATTTAAAAACACTCGTCAGATAAAATCTCGCTCTACGGGTCAAAATGTGATGAACTCATTCATGTCAGAAAACGGTTACACATTTGAAAAATAATCACAAGAAGTGTAATATATCTTAACAATACGACGTTATCTGAGTAAGGGGGTAAATCCTTACTGTTTCAACAGCTGCACTGGGTGGAGCTGGAGGAAATATCTACAGGACTCCTTTAATTTACAAAGAACAATGCATTTAAATGTAATTAAAACGAGAAACATTCGCTAGCTATCTACAACATTTATATAAAATGTTTCGTATCAACTCGAAAGCGGAAATTTACTTTCAGTCTCATTATCAAAATTCTTAACAGGGACAACTTCTAAATTAACAAAGAGTTTTAAAGTTTTTTGATAGCGGGTTAAGTTTCATGTGTGTTAACATTTCAAATAATCTATGTCTGCCATCAGTAGAGTTTCGCTAGCGTGTAGAACATCTGAGATCGGCTACATGTAAAACAATTTTGCAAAAAAATGCACGGCAACAGGTCAAATTCTGGAGATATTATCAAAGACAAAATATATTATCATGAAAGTGAATTTTTTATATCTATGATCAAGTTTGTAATTTCAAAGAGTTAACATAATACAAAATACTGGGTTGGGACCGAGTTCAAATCAAAGAGTCAACACAGGAGTTTAAAACGAACGCATCATAGAAACTATCAAACGCCTGCTTTGGAAAGAAAGTAACAGAGGCACAGGTCACTGATATATAACAGCATAAAAATACGAAGTAAGTATGCTGTTTGAATAGAATGGAACTGGAACTCGGGAATTTGCACTAAATCTATACAATTTGAATATACAAAAAAGGGGAAAACTCGTGTTAAAATCGACCGCGGTGATCATAAAATAACATTAAGAAAACGGATCGCGCCAAGTCCCTGTGGACAAATTGTTTAACGTTATTGTCTATATTTTTCATAGTGATTGTCTTCATCGATGTGGTGCCACAGGGGCTAGTTACATTGCATAATGGTAGACTACAAACGTATGCTTCTACAGCCATTGAATCTTTATGCCAGGTCCCTGTGCATTTTACCGTATATCTGACATGCCCGGGGTAAGCAGGACAGGTCAGAAAACAAACAAACATCAATGTAAATAACTTGTACCTGAATCACATCTTACACATTCCGTCTGACTGACTTCCGATCAACTTTAATATGCTTCCGGTATCAAATACGGTTATCAATCTTCATTGTGGTCGAACATTCCTGTGAGGCAGATTTGTTTGGTTAGTACTTTGCTCAGTATGAGATATAGCATCTTAATCTTACTGTGTGACGTGTATTCGTAACAGCTGATACTTATATGGCAATCTTGTAGATATATTTGATGCGACAGGGAGCAACGGGTAGGGGACTGATTACAAAAATCCATAATATCCTCTAACATATTTTATTATATTTAGATATCAAGCTAGACAATGAGACAAGTGAATTTCTTAACTCATTCACCCCTAGAGACACATTTGAACTCTTCCAATTCAATTGTTGGAATAGTTCATCATGGAATTTCAAGGGTGTAGCAGTAAACAAACATACAAGATACAATGATCATTTTCCTGTCTAAACCGAAACCTCACTTAATTCGAAAACCTTTACAAACCGACATAAATTAAACAAGATCCCACTTTACAGTGAAATACACGTAAAATATCTTTATTAAGCGGAACCTGCACAAATACAAGCTGCTTCTAGCTTCATAAATTTAGGTCAAGGTCCGTCGACCTTGTGTATTTAGATAAACTACCTGATCCGAACTTATGCATTGCTTTTCGGTTGAGACTGGTTTTAATATGTTGCGTTATAGCAGTGCCCCTGGTGTTTTGATAAATATTTTGAAAACATACAAAAACACAATACGTATATCCATTTTATCAATAAAATGGAAAATGAAATTGATTTTGACACACAGGAGGAGATATAACATGATAGTCTTGCATGACAACGTAGCTTAAACATCTCTATCACACGTCGAACACAAGTTATTGCCGTTCTAATTTTTACACAAAAAGTCGATGGGGGCTCGGTATGGCTTTCGCATTTGTTTCTTTCTATTATTATAGTTCTGTTTGTGTAAATTAAGTTATGTACTTGAATGATGCGATAACATTTTGAATGAAATACATACGTTTGTATATTATTATTGTTTATAATAAGGTGGTTTCTGGGTGAACGATCATCACAGTGCAATTACATCCGTATGTAACAAGTTTACCCATGTACTGCCGACTCTCCTGAAAGTCTGGACAGCTTGATGAATGGGAAACTAACTTTATATTTACAAATAACATCGTGATATGTTCGAAATGTCTGCATAATTTTGACTGAATTATCTTCAGGTTATAATGTGCTTATACACAATGGTCTGTTATTGGTACACTAAAGTTTAGATTTGAGTGGATGGTGACGTTTAAAGAGTTGATAATATTGTATTAAGCTGAACGACGAAATCCTATCTAGGCACAAACTTTCGAAGCTTATTAATCCAAGCAAAGAAACAAATTTGCCTGAACTTCATCTGGTTATAAAAGCTACATAACAGATATGTATTCATTGAATTCAAAAAAAGGGAGAAAGAAAACTTAAAATATACTTACGACAAGGCGTATCAACTTCCACACAGATATGGCGGGAACAAAGCTTGTATTGTAATGGGTCCTGTAGACAATTTGTAATTTCTCTTCTGTGTTTACCCATACTGGTTCCTTTTTAATCCAAAAACGCTCCTTCCGGCGAAAATCTGTCCTCGGATGTGGTCTGTACTTGGATCAGACGTTCCCGACAGCACTATAAAGGCAGTTGTTTCGATCCGGAGATTATAAATATAATAACGGTATCTGGAAAAGGTGGGAAAACACCCTGAAGATATACTAATAGCTTATCCTTAAATAGCCACACACAAATTGTCGTGTCGGCGAATTATGCACTATTGTCGAAAAATAATCCTTTAAAAGTATCCGAACGAACTTTTTGAATGTCACGTTGTCAGAAAGGTTAAAAGATAACAGTCTTCAGTTCCTCTCACCAACAATTCTATCACTTAAATGTCCATGATAGAATTCAGTTTGGAATATCCAATTTCAACAGCACCGAAACACCACTATGAAATTCCACTGGTTACATGTGATATTCTTCACTGTGAAATTCCACTCTGCGTCAGAACTGTCTATTTCATCCCTTCGTGTTCCAAGATTTCAATATGACCCGCAGTTGTGTGTGTTGGTAGGTTTAAGTGGAGACTCTGAAACATATGACCAGATATGTATCTAGATAAAATTCCATTCTGCCAGTTTGAAACAAAACCGGTGTATTTATAAGGATGTCTCACCCGTCACTGGCAAGTAATTCTTAAGTGATTTGGCGGCGAGTAGGAGTTGAAATGGGATCACAATAAATGGCTACAGTTCAAAATATATACTCGCTTTGTGTATATTAAACATATATACACATGCGTGACACATACGCTATAGTATATACGGATTCCCATGGGTGTATATTTAGTTCACGGTAAGTAAATACTTCTGTCTATAACAACACGTCACCCATGTGAATTGGACACCTCCGCTCTACCGCGGTAAACTGGTATACACTGCTTGTTATCATAATAGATCATCCCAATTATATAGATGTCGATCTCAGCGTACACACTTCCATACATGCAAACAAATTAAACCTTGAATCGATCACAATTACCTACTCCTCAAAGACAATTATAACAGGAAAAAAACTTTTGTTTGTTAACCGGAATCAATTACTTTATCGATTTAATGACTTTTAACAATTGGAGCAAAAACGGGGGCGCTAGCACGGAACCTTGCTGAGATTTCAGCAGTTTTGTGTAAAGAAAATACTCCAGTCTTTGTTGTGGTATTACGTTTATACATTCAACACTGGGACGATACGTTTATCAGGAATTATATCTGAAGCCTTAGCGAGAGCAAGCTGACGTCCGAGAAATAATTTATCATCCGATATTTGGAGTGAAACATGTCAGCGTCTATACAAAGGGGGGTTGAAATGTGTAACTGTTAGCTGAGAGCAGATGTCGTGTGTGTCTATTTAATGTTCATGGAAAAGCGACTTAATATAAAAGCCAGTTAAATTTATAGAAAAAAAATCAATTCAATCATTTCTTTTTCTTTATCGGAGTTTCCGGTTTACTGGTTCGTCAGCCTTATTGTATGTTATAAGCAATGTTCACACGTTCACTTTCCCATTACTCAGAAGTCAAGTAAACCCTAACAAATGTGCATACTATTATACGAGTATACGTCATACAACACTCTTGTATTTATAATTATTAATCCTACCAGGTCGGTTTTTTAACGGCACTTTCCACATGCGCGTGCACGTATTATTTTCCAACAAGCCATGCACGTGTCATGTTTCCAAGTAAAATTCTCTGTTGTATTTTGGAGATATTATGGAAATTTTAGCCTGCGCGTTTTTTTGTTTTTGTTTTGTTTTTGCAGATGGAACGAGATATTCAGGTTCGCTTGTCGGCTCACGCACATTCGAGATACACAAAGTGGAGAAGTGGAGACACCACTCGACTTTTTNTTTTTAAAAAAAAAAAAAAAAAAAAAAAAAAAAAATCATTGAGACTAGTATTCTCTCAGATAATTATCGGCTCATATGTCTGAATACATCACAGTTTTTAAATATATACTTGCGTGCGATCTACTAATATATCAGACTGGTGTCGACATCGCATATAGGTATACCATTGTTTGTGCACCAATAAATTCACGATCTAATTTTCTATTTTCAAATCTGAAAGAGACCATCTTTCTAAGTTCCTCTGACAAAACAAGACTACGATCAAACCAAAGGATTGTAAAGTCTCGTGTCTTCACTTTAATTAAGTTATAGTTCGCATGCATTGTTGTCTCTCCCGTATACTTCTGTCGTCTAGCCCTCCCTGTAATACTCCCAGATCATGTAAAGGAGTGACAACTAAAACATGGAAATATGCTTCAACTCCGATGATGGGAAACAAAACTTGGTAGGTAATTTTCAATTTACTCAACCACAAACGTATATCAGTGTCAACCAACTGACGTTCAGGTTCACTTCCTTTAATAAAACCAAAATTTGCATAATAGGACTGGAACATGGTCATTATGAACGTAACAAGTCTATACGGCAACGATGTATATTTTTCATTCTAAGGATTTTATTTTTCAGACACATCTATAACTATACAAGAGAGACAAAAACAAATGTCGAGAAACACTTGAGAAGATAAACGACAAAAAACAGATGACAACACATAATATTTTGAATATAACGAGAAAAGCATATGATGACAAATGAACAAGATATCACGGACTTCAGATATCTAATCTAATTCCGTGATGATATGACAAAAACGCAATATAATGACAAAAACATGATTACAAAATCACGTGATACGACAAAAACACTCATAATATGAGAGTGTATGATATAATGACTGCAGAACATAATATTTTGACAGGAGCACATATTAACCTAATATCAAAACCACGTGATATAATGACATAACGAAAACCATCATGTAAGACAGCTGTGACGTTCTATAGTATTATCTTTTAAATCTTTCGCCTCTTCAAAAGTTCTTCATAAGACGTTTATTTGTTTATTTTGTAGATGAATATGACATAAACAGTAATATACTTATGATAAACAAAACAAAATCCGAATATAAGTCAGTCTAACTTAATGGTGTGTATCAAAGTCAATACTATCGTTCAGGGACTATTTCACTTTAATTGACCTAGTTTAAATGAGTATCGCCTTATTGACTATATATACATAATGAACTCGCCAACAATCACATTGCTGGTATCGAACCATTATCAATAGCTCCGGGATATTTTGAGAGTGCATTACGCACTGGACAGACATGGTTACGGTAAGATCACTCCCATTTATAATGACATAACACTATATTAGCACATAGGACCGATTCCATTTGACCACTTAGTCCCCGGTCCGCAGTGCTTGATATGTTGTACCCGGGGGCGTGTGACATTACGTTCTGGAATTTTCTCAATCAAAACGACCTTGTTAATTGTTACTTATCTTTGTTTTAATCTGATTAACCCTTGTAGAGCTCTTATAAAGAATTATCCTAAGACTTGGGTGACTCAGAAAAAAGTTCAATTGGATCATAGAAGTCTGTATAATGCATTTATCACACGTACCTGGCTTCTCCTACGGAATCGTACCCGGTCAAGTTGATTACCATTATCCGATCAGACGGTTTACATTTAAGCCATTTATAATTATCCATACTCCATCATTTACCCCGCTAACCCGCTAGATTTCACACGAGGCTCTCCATTAACGGTCACCCGGAGTTTCCTACATGACTAATTGCTATTTGTCGTGCTTATCAAACTCAAGTTAATTTCTAGTTTAGGTTTTTTTAATTGAAATAAAATGAAAACGAGGGTTTAAAAAAACCCCAATAAACTCAGTATGTGATGACAATTGTTGAGCGCTCACATCTTTGTTTCACAAACGAGTCGGGCTGCGTTGGAATCCGTTTGAATACTTCAATTACGGTTAGATTTCTACTCAATTCTTATTTTATTATAATAAAGATATTCGGGAATTGATTCGACATTTATGATAATCAATCCTGAATATACCTAAAGCTAACCACTGATACAATGTGAGCTGAATACCCCGTAAAGGAGAAGGACGGAATTAAATGACGCCAATCTTCAAACTGCGACATTCCATAGAACAACCAAAGACTAAGAAATCTCAATATCGGACCCTTCAATCGTTTACTCTAGATCTGTTGTAGGTGCTTTATTGTTGTCTTTATCATTTCATTTATCATAACATACAGGTTGGCCATAAAATTCCTTCCATGCAAACTACCAGGTATATAATTAAAAAACAAAGAGGATGTTTATGAATTGGTTAATTAACACTGTTATTTGCTCAAGTCTGTGAAATCGCTTTTCACTGCCCCGCATCTAATTTTGAGGACGCGACATGAACTCGGATTTGACCCTGATTGATAAACGGTTAATGGCGATGAAGCAGAAGACGCTTGTCGTTCCGGACCACCTGGTCCTATTCGCCTTGTAATTTTCAGTGGTCTGCTTGCTTTTCCTCGGTTCATGTTTTGCCGTACTTCCATCGATTTTTAGTCCAAGTTGACATTTCGGTTATCTTCTGTTGTTTTTAAGCCAACAATTCAGCTGGGATTGGACAAACGGAACAATTATGGTTGTGATTACGGTAGTATGATTGCAATGAGCTATATCACATGTTTATGAAGCACAGCGTCACTTTATAGAATACAAATACTTATTTGCAGTATCGACATATAGAAAAAAAACCGAACAGCTAGCTCTACTGATACCAGTTGAATATTACATAATTCATAAATATTCAAATGATATGTTATTAAATTATAACAGCTGTGTATGTACGTATACGCTATTCATGTAGCCATTACACATACACATACATTTGTAGTTTTGGGAAAACGGTATCAAACGGTTTGAGGAGACTAATGTGGGACTCCATATGGAAACGGGAGTCTTCAGTTTCAGTCATCCCTGCATAGCGCATCGATGACGTCAGAATTGTTCTCCAGTATCCATTGTAATACTCTTTTAAGTATTGATTGATTGATTGAGTGATTTTACGTACGCTTCACTATCGAGTAATTCGGTTATTAAGACACCCCCCTCCCTGATAATTGTCTTTAAAATCATGCATTTTCACCATTTTCCTCAATTTTCCCCCACTTGGAAACACCCCAGATAGGTCTCTGGATCCGCCACTGTTGTATCAATATTAAGCATTCGACTAAGTCTAAAAATGTCAAGTAGTTAATAAACAAGTTTGTGAAAATTAACGTGACCTGATACGCAACACAGAAACATAAAAACGAGGAAAACAAATTTAACGACTCGTGCCCTGTCGAAGCCTCGCACTTGTAGGTAAAACATGTATATACCACACACACATGTTTGTAGGTATCTGAGGAACACGAACAGACCTTACACCTATATTGTTATAAATAGGATATGTCAACCCAACTGTACATGTTGTCTGTGTCACAAAGGTATAAAGGTTTCATTCTTGGGGCTAAATTTAATTTAATTTCCAGCACACAAATAAATTATTCCTGTCACGGGCTCAACAGGAAACTGATGTTTATTTCTTTATATGTCTGTCAAGAAAGCAATAATACATGTTGACGTTTCGTTTACAACTCGCTGACACAGTTAAATGGGAATAACGTTTTCATTCATGACCATATCATAATGGTTAATCTTCAACGATAGTTTTCGAAAATGCATTTGGCACTATTTCTAGAAATACAGGACTTAATACCCTCCACTATAATTGTACATTATATTACACACAGTCAGGTGATAGTATTATCAACAGCAATGTCGGAATGGTTTCCTGTATAATCATTTACAGCTACCACGAACAGCATCTGAAGCATATATATCTGTCTCTTTTAATATCATTGCGTAAAATACATCATAAACTGAGGGAAATTAATAAATATATGAAATCTACATAAAAAAATATACATATATCAATATAAAGGAACTTACTTTGTTAATTTGTATATATTTTTTGAAAAGTGACATTGAACCCGCCCAAGTAAAAGGTGAGGCTGATAGCCTGAAGTAGTTTTCGACCCCAGGCCTCATCGAGAGCCAGTGTGAACGTACACTGTAAAACATATTTGTTTGCGAGTTATTTTCGCGATCGTTCTTCAAATTTCTGTAATAGAATGGCAATGTATATATAATTATATTTGTTCCTTTGTTTTATTGTGTCTCGATAAATACTCGCAAATAAATGTATCAATGCGAAAATAAGATGACTCGTGAAATTTAAATGGATTACAGTATATAAAATAGGTAAGAGTTCACAATACGTCAATTTTGCCCCCCCC